CTACTAGGAACAAGAAGCTACTAGTAACAAAGGGCATCGCTACTAGTTTCAGGGTTGCATCGGAATGTTCTGTGGTCTCCAAAGCTCCAGGATGACTGCAGCTACCTGTCAGATCTTTCTTATAGATGGGTGTGACTGGGTGGGTAATGTGGAGACTCTGCTAATGGTCTGGTCTCCCTTTTTGTAAGCACCATGCCTCAGGTCGCTGGGGTAGTATGCAAGTTTCAAATACTCCACGCATGGAATGATGGAATAGTTATTTATATAGCGACGGCCCGAAACTAAGAATGACTTTTGTGCCATTCCGTTTCAAAAAAAAACCTCCTAAAAATCATTTTTGATAGATTTTGGCTATAAAACACCGCTCCTGTGCAGGAAAATAAACTTAGCATGCCCCAAAAGTGGCGCATTCTAAGTTCTAGGGGTGTTTTGAAAAAACAAATAAAAAACCCATTTTTTCAGCGGCCCAAACAACTTAGAAGCAGTGCAACACAACCATCATTTGCAAACAAGTGCGACTGGGGCTTTGGATTTTGGAATGCCTCTGGGCAAAACTTGCGTGTTTTCAAAAACAGTAGGCAAACTTAGAATCACCAGTCAGTGGCTACTTGAAATAACTATGTTTTGAGCTGGTTCCTTTCATTTCCCTTGACTTTGGTCGATGTGTTGAAGAGCAAAGAAAGGAAACCGAAAGGAACATGAAAACAACATGGAGTGAAATGAAAAGAAACTCAAGAAAATTCAAGAATCATTTCTTTCACTCTTAAAGCACTATTTTAGGCCATTCCTTTTAGGTTGGAGGCCATCGCTAGTAGATTGCAGGCCATCTCTTCTAGGTTGGAGGCCATCTCTTCTAGGTTGGAGGCCACCGCTAGTAGATTGGAGGCCATTGCTTCTAGGTTGAAGGCCATCGCTGGTAGATCTCTTCTAGGCTTTTCAGATACAGGGTTTGTGTATATATATATATGTTAGAGAGACGTTCCGCATTTATTTCGTTGCGCGTGTCAGTTCGCACAGAAACTAAACGTCCAGCCATTTAGTTTTTTTAGTTTTCTTTGTAAAACTACAGGGCTAGACTCCTGGACATTTAGTTTTTTTAGTTTTTTTA